ATATCCAGGAGATTTGCGAGGTGTGATTTTCCGTAAAAGGTATTTGACCTCAGAGGGATTAACAGCTTTAGGTGGTAAGGAGAGTGGGATAGGTATTGAGAGGGATTCTTCTACTTTTACTGTGTGGCTGGGATGGGATTCTGGATGAGGAGCGAAAGTATAGGAAAGGTGTTTGGCAAATTCCTCGGCTTTATCTTCATCAGATGCTGCCCAGGAGCCATCATCTCGTCGAAGAGGGTGGGAAATATGATGGGATTTGAGGATTTTTCTGGTGATATTCCAAAGGGAATTATCATGAGCAGAGAGTGTGGTGAGGTAGGAATTGAATGATTGGGATCTGAAGGTGGCTAATTCTTTTTTTAATTTTTTACAGTGATAATTGTAGGAGTGGCGGTCGGCTGGATGTCTGGTACGTTGCCATAATAATCTGGCACGGCGTTTTATGTGGATTAGGTCAAGGAGGTGTTGAGGTAAATTATGTTTCTTAAGGATTTTTGAGGAGTGATCAGGGGAGGAAGCAGTCCAGACTGCTTCTTGAATTTTGGTAGTGAAGGAATGTACTGCATTGTCCAGGTCTTCAGAGGTTTTCAGGGTTACTCTGAGGTCAATTTTATCGGAGAGGATTTGATGAAAGAGTTTCCAGTTAACTGGGCCTCTGATGAAGGACGGAGGAGAGGGTTTAGGAATAGGAGCTAGTGATACTTGGAGTATTAATGGGCTGTGGTCTGAGGAAAGCTCGTCAAGACGGGCAACGGAATGGTTGAGAGCACCTAAACCATTATGGATAAAGAAATCGAGGATATCGGGATTACGGTTAGGATCAGTGGGCCAGTAGGTAGGTGAGTTGGGTGGAAGAAGGGTAAAATTTTGGGAATTGAGTACAGACAGCAATGTTCGACCACGAGAATTCGTGGTTCTTGAACCCCATTGTTGATGCTTGGCGTTTAAGTCTGCACCCAAGATGAAATGATGTCCTAAGGAAATGAGGAAGGAACTAAATTGGATATTGGAGATGGATTGGTTTGGAGGGCAATACGCTGATGCAACGGTAATAGGAAAGGAGAAGGTTTTGATTACGACTGCGGTGGATTGTAGGAAATCGTGTGTAGGCAGTGGGAGTAGGTGATGGGAGAGGGATTGGTGCACAATGACTGCAGTACCGGCATGTGCTCTACCGTCAGGATGGTCGGTACGGTAAGTTATGTATTGTGGTATTTTTAGGAGCTGTTTTTTAGTCAGTCGAGTTTCCGTTATTAAGGCTACGTCTACGTTCTTGTCTTGTAGTAAGGCTGTTAGTTCGTGTATGTGATTTCTAACACCATTCGCATTCCAAAGGAGAATGGATATGGGTTTGATGGAAGTCATTTAAGGATTTTTTAAAGGAGGGATAAGGTGAGATACTAGGTTAGTGAGAAGTGATATCAGTGGGGTAACAAGGGATTTAAATTCTGAAAGAAAGGATGTCAATAAGCTGGTTAGATCTGTAGCATTAGGCGGTGGAGGAACATATTGGATTTGATGTTGGTGAGGTTGTTGTTGATTAGGTACATTAGGTGGGATAGGATATTGAGATTGGGGTTGAGTTTGTTCTTGCGGCAGGGCCTCACATACATTAGTCGGGTCTCTACCCCCAAGTAGCTTGGCAAAAGAAACCTTAGAGTTCACAATTTTAGCGGGTCCTCTTCTTGGTTTAGGTGTATCATCAGGGTCCCTGGGTTTCATATATCTCGCTTTAAGATTTTTATAAATTTGGCAGCCTTTGTAGTTGGCTGGATGGCCTTCCAGGCATAGGGCACAGACTGCTGGTTCTGTAATTGGTTTATTACACTCGCCAGACTTGTGTGTTTTACCACATTTCACGCAGCGTGGTAAGTGGTGGCAATAAGACTTGGTGTGGCCATATGCTTGGCAATTATGGCACTGGATGAACTCTCTTTTTGGGTACGGTTTTTCGACCTTTACGCTGGTGTAGAAAATTCTATTCACATCGTATATTTTTTCGATCCCAGGCGATGGCTCTAGATCGACGAAAAATAAGGGCAATGGGATTTTATTCTTTACACCTGGTTGTTCTTTATTTTCTTTTAAAACATTGGTTATCTGACGTATTTTGAACCCTAACGCCGTTAACTCTTCTTTAATCACTTCTATTAGGGTTGAGGAGTGTAAATTTCTTATTACAACTCGTAGTGCTCTTTCCTGTTTCAACTGGTATGTGTGAAAGTCCGCATTTGTGTCTGTTAAATATTTTACGATTTTTCGGTACGCTTCAGGTGTGGCCGGTATTATTTTTGTATCATTTATTCTGTTTAGGCATGTATAGCTACCTGGGCAGATTTTATTAAGTTGAGTACACAACAATTGAAAATTTCTCAAATTTTTGACAAAGATAGGAGGTGGGCGTGGTTCTCGAGGTATAGGTGCATCTTCCATTTCTTCCCTGTCATTTTCAAGCACCTGGTATGGATTAGGTGTAAAAAATGGAGATTCCATTTCTTGTGAAGACGTAATTGGCAGTGGTTGAGACACAGATTCTTGAGTGTTCGCTGGAGGAGTTCCGGGGGGTGTTAATCGCTTACTACGACGTGTTTTCTGTTTAGGCGGTGAATTACGTGGGGTAGAGCCGACTGAATGGGACCTCTTAGTTGACATTACTTGGTGGTAATATCGCATATAAAAAAAAAGAAAGGGAAAAAAAAATAAATAAATAAAACTACGTCTGCGTGTTATTACAATGGATGAACCGGCGGCTGTAAACCAGCCAGTTACGTGGCTCAGCCACAACTGGAGAGGGGAGCCGTCAGCTGTTATGGCTATAGAGATTAAGCCTATAGACGCTAAATCACTAAATTCACTGTCTGTAATAGTACACAGTAAATAACAACACTACTCACTGTGGTGTTAGTCCATTGTTGTTGTTTTGATGTCTGCTTAACTAGTTTTTTTTAAAAAAAGTAAAACTGAGCACTTATTCTACTAAAAAATAGTAAAACTGTGGGACACGACGTGAAATGTGGGTATTCAAATCAGGCGCATGCGCAGAACTGTGAATGCTCTAAAGGGGTTATTAAGTATTGGTAAGTATTAAAATGTTTTACAGTCCTTTGAAATCTTGAATTTGATAAAACGGTCATTTTTTTTTTTTATACACCCTAATTAAATAACTCTTCCTCATACTTCAATATTATTTTCTCTGAAGGAACCTAGATTATTTAGCTGATTCGAATTGCTAATAGGGTTAGTTTAAAAAATGCAAATTGTCTTATTGCTCCTTTTGCTAGAGCACTTATTGACACTGTTTTGTTGTGCCGTGAACAATAGAAATGAATTGGCTTAAGGAGTCCTTGAGTGATAAAGGCGAATTTAATTTATTGTAATTAATGGTGGGTAGATTCCGGTGATTAAGACTGATTAACATAGCTGGAGCTACACCATTATCGCCTACTCCAGCCGTCCTGGAGAAGGGAGGGGAGTGAAAGAATTACCGTTGGAACAATGGCTGGCTTAGCATCTCTTCGGTGGGAGGACCAATTGGGTCAATGGTAGCTTACTCTAACGAACCATGATTTAATGAAATGTCGAATTTTTCTTTTCAAAAAAATATATTTACGCTCATATTTTCAAACGACAATTTTAAAGAATTATAACGTACCTTCCATTTAAAAGAAACATAGAAATAATGCTGGCTGTTTTCAATATCTGGAACTGCAGCAGAGTAATACTTCTTATACCACGTGTTTACCCGAGCCAGCAGGAAGTCAATGCAAGATCTTGTCGGGCATCTATCAATGTCGTCCATTGAACAAGAGCCATTATTAATGTATTTTTCTTGTCCATGGGCCAATGATGTTTACGTTACGGTCTATTTTACAAATTATTTGACAGGAATAAGTTACTATATGTATATCTTACTTACCTGACCCTGAAAGTGTTTGTTGAATAATTAGTTCCTCTGTCAGAACGGTGACAAATTTAAAATGTTTCATTACTTAGCTATTTCTATGCTGCGTGTTTAACGATGCAAATAGAAGTATACGAGCCTTAAAACTGGAAATGAATTATTTCATGGATTAAAAAGGTAATATGGAGGTCTGTTAATGGTCTAGTAGCCAAGAAAGTACATGATCTTATGATCAGTTCACATCATTAGGAACAAATATCCGTTACCAAATCCTATCGAAAACTTTTAAGGAGAAGACCCGAAGTGGGTAAATTGAAGAACTATGGAGCTTGAACATCGAAAGTCTGAATGCTAATCTCAAAACTTTCCTTTAAAGGAGCGAATGAGGACAGAGCGACATTTCTAACAAAAATAACATCTTGAAGGAACGAAGATGTGACACTACTTCTTTGTACATTAAGATTTGTCCTGCGATGATGGTAGGATATTTTAAAAAATCGCTCCTAAAAAGACATAGCTGGAATGCGCCTTTTCACTCTTCGAAGAAATGATGATAAAGGTCACCTTGCCGAGCTGAAGTTAACTTGGCTATATGGAAGCTTAAAAATGATAAGGCTCATGAAATGGATTACCGAATAAGAAATTAACATTTGTGACCCAGTGGAGATATAATATAAAAATAAATTGTATTTCGGCTGTTTTCAAGCTAAATTACTGAGGAACTCGTTAGTCCATTACAGTCTATAACCTCATGTAGATTTATGGTTGTACTCTCATCTGATAATCCTGTAGATTATCAATATGTCATGTATCTAGATTATAGAAGTCAAAGATTTTTGCATTTTTTTTTTAATTATTCAAACCAAGTTATCAATCAATGCAATAGTCATAACAGTTAATAAATTTTAAGGGAAGGTTTCAAATTTTAAATATATATTATTAGTAGGTATATACTTTAATAAATCATAGGAATCAAATGCTGTTTTTCATTTAGATCTATCTGTTGGATACCCTGCCCTATTTGCCTTGTTCGGATCAATCAAGGGGCTAAATACGATATACAAGTCTAATGTAACCATGGCATTAAATCCACATGTTGCTTACACTCATATGCAAACTATGCGGGGTTATATATCGTCTATCATATATTTTGGTGATGTTCTCTGAAGGAAGAAATACAAAAACTTTTTGTTTTAACTTTGGTTCATGGGAACAACGAACTACTTGCGATCTCCTAGCGGCCGCTTCATACACAAATCAAATTCAGGTTAGAATGAATACAATTTGTTATTTAGAAAGATTTGACAGTCATGCTTAAATTATCTTTTATTTTCATCTTACGGTTAATTGATGTTTAAAATTCAACTTACCAACATCAGTGAAACATATATAATACTGTAATATTATTTCTCAAATTCATTGATGTAATACAGTCACTGATAGTTCTTCAGTAAAGTACAGATTTTTTATTTTGATTATTGTAACCTGCATTATAACCAAACATCACGTTCTAAAATTTTTAAAATAAAACATTTAGAAGCCTTGGTTGTCGAGTGCGTCGGAGATTAGCAGCAAAGTATATAGCATTTTTTCGATAAATGACAATCGATAGCTTAGATAATATCGACTGGCTATTATCCAAAATATCGTTAAATATTCTCATGCTTCTCAATCCCAATAATTAGGTTTGCTAAAATCCTTTCGGCACTAATCACATATGAGTACATTTCAATTTTCTTTTTTATATGATGTAAAGGAACTCTTTTTTCACCATACCCATTGCACATATTACTATTATGTTACTCAATAAAATAGTTGATAATTTATTGTTAACAAACTATAAAACGAAACTAAAAACCGCACAATTGTGCTTATTAGCGATTAGGGTGGCAAGCTGAAACTGAAAAGAATATGAAAATTGTAAAATAAACGGTAGCTAGAAAAGCGAATGGAGATTAGTAAAACTTTCTTATTTTAATTTTACAGGTATCTATATATATGTATACCTAGGTATCATTTTGTATTTATATAGGGATCCTGTAAGTGGAGGAAAATATTAAAACAGGTACCTCAGAGCTACAGAAAGGTTCACATAAAGAATGGTCCGATTTTGAGAATAGTAGAAATTTAAGTTTTAATTTTTAAATTGAGTTTAAGTTTTATTTTTTGAAATACGAAACGATAACTATAAAAATATTTATTTTAGGTAATTAACAATTGCATGAAAGTAAACTAGACAAACTTTACTTCAAAATAAAGTAGAGTTTGTCATTATTAAAACAATTTGAAGAGGACTTTTGAGTGGTCTTTTGCATTTTTTTTTTAATTTCTCTCCAACTACACATTAAATACCACGAATTTAGAAAAACTTCCTTATTTATATTTATATTATATTCTTTAGTTATATTATATCCTTTATATTCTTTAAAAAATTTAATTTATTCATTGATAAACTACTCCTATTGATTTCTACATAAACTTGAGCCACATTAAAACATTACACGTCATTAAGTCATTATCTGACAAATTGAAAATGTAATTTATGTTTTAATACTCTTTTTATCAATGCTGATATACCTTTTAGATGACGAAACAAAGCGTCATATCTTCCCTGGAAGAGAAACTTCAAGATCTTCATCTTCTTCAGCGGCAAGTAGTAAGTTAAATATTATTTTATAGTAAATTATTCTCGTATTTCCTAAGATTACGTAAGTTATAATTTTTCTTCCTGTGGTATTTTTTTATTTAAAAAAATAAATAATGCATCATACATTTTTCTAGTTAGAAGAACGAAATTTTTAGTTAGAAGACCGCCTTGTACAGCCATTCCAGACATAAGAAGTGAGTTTTTAGAAAACGATATATTATTAGAATAACCATTGCTGTTAGATAGTAACATTAGTGTATTATTTGTATTTCCGATATCACATGCGTCACGATAATTTGTTTGAGAGGAACAAGGGAGGGAGGTATGATCACCTTTGGAAACAAAAAACAAAAAATAAACAAAAATAAATAAAAAATAATATATATATATAGATATATATATATATATATATATATATATATATATATATATATATATATATATATAAATAAATTTTAAAAAAATCGTGAGAATAACATTACTTTCAATTCATAACTTCGTAATGAAGTAGTCAATAAATAATTATAATAGTCATAACTTCGGTACAACGTCTGATATTTACCATTCCGCATAGTAATTTACTCAAGATTCAAGTTATATTTTATTTAGTAATTATTTATTTGGTTATTTTTATTATTATATTTTATTAAAGTGGCTATATTGCGATTAAAACAATTCACGTTAAATTATAATCAATTTTTTTTTTATTCATAACATATATTTTATTTATTTATTTAGAGAATGATTGGAAAAATTATGACAGTTTTGGTATTTCACTAATGATTGGACATCAGAGTTTCGCGGACCAAATTGTGTTTTTTTTTTTCAAGTAAGAGACATATATTGAACCATTTTTATGAATTTAATAATTTTATTCTATGTTTTTCTTTTCCATTAGGAGAAGATTGTCTGACAGAAGGAAGTTATCTGATTCAAAGGAAATCAGGCAAGTTGAGAATTTATTTAATTGAGATGTAATATTATGATCATGTATAATATAATGCATAAACAGATATACGTTGATTCCCTTTTCAATTCGGAATGTTATTAACTTGTCATTATTTTTAGGGAGTGATAAGGATTCAGATCAGTCATACTATAATCAAGGTGAGCAAATTATCTATTTTTAAAAAATAATTAAATATACAGTATGTAAAGTATTGACATAATAAACATATATGGAATTCCACAACATAAATGTTTGTGTTATTTATGTAACCATTCCACGATGAGTTTAGTTATCTTTTATTTTATCGTTTATCAAACCATTTATTTATAGTGTTTGTTGCTGCTAGATATGTTTCTGTTTCGGTCATTTTTAATTTTAAAAAGTATTCTTCATGAAGAAGTATTTATAGGCGGAGAATTTTTTATTATTAGAGGCTAAAATTAGGTCTTCCAATGATTTAAGGGACCATTTAATTTGTTTATTTTTCACTGAACATATTTTTATATGTTTAAGCACATGTCTATATATTTTATTTTTTTTATTGCCATTATATATATATATATATATATATATATATATATATATATATATATATATATATATATATATAATAATAATAATAAGGCTTAGCGAACCTGAAGGTTCGATGCCGACACCACCAATCGCTTGTTACACAACTCCCTCCACCGTTCGCCGTCCAAACCCAGTTCCTTCAGATCGGCTTTAATGCAATCTTCCCACCTTCGCTTCGGTCTGCCCCTCGGACGCTTACCATTCGGCACAGCAAATATTAACCTTTTAGGAATTCTCTCGTTACTAAGCCCAACAACTTTACAAGCCCATTTGATTCGCCGCTATGAAATTACCTCAATTATATTACCCGGATACAGCTCACGCAATTCGGCGTTGTGTAACCGTCTGAACTCTCCGGTTAACTCATCCTTCTCGGTCCGAATATTCTACGCAATACTTTATTTTCAAAAACCTTAAGACGCTGCTCATCCCTTAATGTAAGCGGCCAAGTTTCGCATCCATAAAGAACTGTAGCACATCCTGACTAGATTTACTATTTTTTTTGGAATCCCCTGCTCGATTAGAATATTATACAGTTTCTGGCGGTCAATAGAATCGTAAGCCTTTTTAAAATCTACATACAGCTGGTGAACAATACCGTTATACTCCAATTTTTTCTCTAATATTTGCCGTAAAGAAAATATTTGATCAATAGTCGAACGATTCCGTCTAAATCCTCATTGGTACTCTCCGATAATTTCCTCGGCGTATTCCGTGATTCGACTGGTTAAGATTAAAGTGAATATTTTATAACATACCGGAAGGAGTGAAATTCCTCGATAGTTATTACAATCCGTCCTCGGACTCTTTTTGTGAATCGGAATAAGAATAGATTCTTTCCATTCTTCAGGTGATTTCTTGTTCACCCATATCTTTTTAACCAACCGATGTATTTTAGAAACTCCAGCTTCCCCGCATGCCTTAATTAGTTCAGTAGGAATATTATCAGTTCCCGCTGCTTTATATGATTTTAATTTTCCGATAGCTACTTCAACTTCCTCTTTACTTGGTCCTTCTATTAACGGTTCAGCACTCTAGTACTCAGAAGGAGGACACAGATCATAATTTCCCGTATTTAAAATATTGTCAAAGTGGTCCTTAAACTTATTCAATATGTCAACCGGATCGGTCAGAATATTGTTATTATCATCCCTAATTTCAGACGTTACGGGCCCTACATATTTACGTGATCTGTTTATACCTTTGTACATGTCTCTTACTTTATTTTCGATTCTATTAGTTTCTATTTCAATTATTTTATTTTTAAGATACTCCCTTTTTTTATTTTTGAGCAATTTTGTCGTTTCGTTCTTTGAGATTCGGAAGTATTCCAGATTGTCTTCGCTAGGATTATTTAGAGCTTTTAATTTAGCGGCTTTTCTTTTTTCGCACATGTTTAAGCAATCTTCATCAAACCACGGTTTGTTATTCTTATTTTCCTTTTTTCCTAGACACGAGTTACCGACCGCCTTAATATTATCCCTGATCTCTACCCATAACTTGTCAATATCCTCGTGGTCCTCGTCAGGAAGCTCTAAAGCTTCAAACCTATTCTTAACATCTAGCTCGAATTGGGTTCTAATGGATGGATTTTTTAATTTTTCCAAATTAAAATTCTCAAAATCGAACCGGTTTTCTTTTGTCTTTTTTATATTAAGTTTTTGTCGAAGTTTCACGATTACCAATTCATGATCCGACCCACATTCTGCTCCGCGATAAGACCGTACATTGATTATACTGCTTTGCCAGCTGTGTTGTATCAAGACATGATCGATTTGATTTCGTGTTTGCAAATCCGGTGATGTCCAAGTATATTTATGAATATCCTTATGTTTAAACGTCGTACTTTTAATTATCAGGTTTTTCGAGATGGTAAAGTTTATCAGACGGATCCCATTATCATTACTATATTCGTGCAAACTTTCTTTACCAATCGTCGGAATATAAACTTCTTCCCTTCCTACCTTGAACGGCTTTCAATGATTCTAATGCTGGTATTAATTAAGATCTAACTATATATATATATATATATATATATATATATATATATATATATATATATATATATATATATATATATAGTTAGATCTTAATTAATACCAGCATTAGAATCATTGAAAGCCGTTCAAAAACCCAAGAAGATCGTACATATGCTATATACCTAGACCTGAAGAATGAAGAGCCGTGGGTTACAGCCAAACATCAGAAGAGTGGATAACTGGGGATGCCTTCAATAAATGTTTAAGATACAGTGAAGATATAAAGAGAAGAAATCTTAGAAAAATCTCAGGGAAGTTCTTAACTATGAAGCTCTTTTCCACAAAATTGAAATTAAATAGAACCATTTTATTAATATATTTACATGATAATGAATATGTAATAAGTTCTGTACAAAGGAATACAATGAGTATAAATACCACAGGCGGATCTACAGGAGGGCTTTCGGACTGAAGCCCCTCCCTCCCCAAAACGGTAAAATATAACCATGTTTTATAGAAAAAAATATTAAAAACTCTCTCTTAAAGTATTATTGTTCGTGTAATTACATTTAAGAGGACTTCGAGAATCACTTAAACACCATTTCATTTAGGAATTTAATTTCTTTTTTTTTTCTTTAAATAATTATTGTTAAATGAAAAAAAAAATCTTTCGGGCTGAACCTCCCCCCCCAAAAAAAATTAAATCCTGGATCCGCTTGTGATAAATACTATCAAAATTCGAAAATTATCTTTTTAAAAGAATATTTTGTTTTAATTTACGAATAAAATAACAGTTTTGATAGCCGATACATATTTTTTATTGTATGATATTTGGTAACTATAATTGTAGGTAATACAATTAAATAATGTATCTATTCTGTAAAATACCAGAATAGTGGAGCTCTACATAAATAATGTAGAGTATGAATATATGAATATAAATTTTTTTGTAATATTTTTATGTTTATAGGTAATATTATTTTCTCAATATAAATTGCTTCAATTGGATTTTTTTCTAATTGGAACAGTTTTATATCATCAGTACCTAAATGCACTTACAACATTGTGCCACGTACACAAATTCTTGCCTGAGTCCAAGCATATTTGACTTTACCATTCGAAAAAGTTGGTTAATTTTCGATAATGATATTTTAAAGAGTTCTGATTGTTTTGGTTTGTTCGAAGACAATCAATATATTTTCAATCTTTTCCTATACATTCCTAGGTTTTGAAAAACACATTTGGAATATTTGAGTAGATGTAACACATTCTATACAGTCCACAATAAATTTAGTTAAAACAAATTGGTGTCTGATCTAATTTATATGCTTTTGTCCAATCCATTTATTCAACAACGTGATTTAGTGGAAGCATTTCTAAAATGTTCTAATTAATTAGGTATTCAATTTATCTCCAATGTGACTGTAATCCATTATTTTGAAAACGTCTTACAAAATATTTCTCATGTTTCACAATTCCAAAGACAAGTTCGTGCTGCAAGCTCAGGATCATATCCCCTTTGATTTTAAGACTGACATAATTTGATTGGCACATTTTATATGTCAGAACTGAAAAATGCAATTTCTTATTCCTTGACGTTTCAAAGTAACATTTGCAATCTGTCTATGGAATGGGTTGGAGAAATGGAAAGATGGCTGTCAATTTGAGCGGGAGGGACTGACAATTCTTTTAAATATACGTTGTCTCGATCGATAGGCTAATTATCATCAATCATCTTTATGTTACAGAATTCGTATGTTAATTTATGGTAAATTAAAATATTTACAAAGTTGTAACGTTTGTATGAGCTGACCCCATGAGCACAAGATAAATACGGTGTAAGTTACAATCATCATATTAGCATTGCTGTATTTTCGGAACTATTGCCGATTATCTAATTTATGTTTTTTGATATTCTTATCAATATCAAAAAAATAATTTTTAAGAATTTAAATTAACAAGCTCTATAATTTGAACTTACTATAGTATTATATGTTTTCTATAAAAATTGATAACGGATTATTTACTTTTACTTTTTACTTTACATTACCTTATCTTTAACTTTTTGAAGTCTATGAATTGGCACTATTCGGTGAAGATCGGTTTTCATATATTCACAAAGATAATTTAATCACCATTATTTCTTCCTTCAAAGATTTTTTTTTTTTAAATTGCAATGAATTTCATAATTTAACTAATAGATTACTTAAATGCTTTTAAAAGAAACAGACTTTATAGATATCAACCAGTAGGGTCAAATAATTATTACTTATATTAGATGAAAGAAACTTTTTAGACTTAAGCGAGCCTAAATCTATATATATAAAAATGAATGTATGTCTGTCTGCCCGTCTGTTTGTCCTTAGTGCATTACTAAACCATTCAACCGATCTCCATGAAACTTTGGGAAGTTGTTCCATACACTCCTGGGAAGGTTTCTGGCATAGTACTTCTGTCTTACGATAATTTTATTTATGTAAAAAAAAAATAAAATGTAAATGTTTTTCTGTTAAAAGTCGCAAAAAATGTGTCGCTATAAACTGTAGTGCCAAAACGGCTTTACCGATTTTAACGAAACTTGGCTAAAGTCTTCCCCTTGAAACCCTTTTAATTTATGTGTATGACATACTTTCCCGAAAACAAGCTGAAAAATGTTACGATGAATTCAATATTTTATTTGACGATAACTAAAAAAGTACATAATTTTTGACCCATAATAATACCCACATTTATTTGAAAGATTCCTGATTTGCCGACAAAATAAAAAAAAAATCATCGAAATCGGACGGTTCGTTGCAGAGTTATTGAGTTTTAAACATTTACTGCTTTCTCTTCAGAAAAGGACGTTTCCTTTTGCTTCCTCACTACCAAACGTTAGCAAGCATTTTTTTATTTTATTTTTTTATTGATTAATCGAAAATTTTATAATTACTACAGTAATTGAAATTATCATTTGAAGAATTTATATGATTCTCCTTATGTAGGTCACTACTATTATGCGTTTTTAAAATTTAGTTTTATAAGTTCAACTCAGACTGTTTCTGATGATTATGAATGACGGCGTATTTACTCAGATGATTATGAATGTTCAATTTGAATCACGAGAAAAAAACAATTAGAATTAGTTTCAATTGAAGCCATTTTACAGACAAATTTGTTTCCCTACTTTTTAAAAATGACAGAAGTCTTTTGGTATTAATGTAATGTGGTAATGGTATGTGCTTTCTATTTTCTTTCTTTTTCATTTTGCCAGGCTAAGCCACAGCAGTGCGTGGCCCGGTAAAGCTAGTTAAGCCTATAAATTAAGTTGGATAATGTTACGAAATGATTAAGGAAGTAAAAAGATGGAATTGTTAGTTATCATTAAGCTAATTGTTAATTAGTATTCATTTTATTGTTTAAAAACAAACAATGTATAGATAGTTCAACATGGATTTAAAAAAGATCAAATAACATTTTTTTTTTCTTTATTGCTATTTTCTGATATGGAAAGTAATCTTCAAAGTTTTCCGCAAAATTATTTCTTGACATTTTCAGGTATTATAACTCTTTCTTCTAACTTTTAAATTTAATACTATAAAAGAAAATCGTGACATTTCTTCACCTCTATGCTCCGTTTATGGTTATGAAATTTAAGGAGCAGAACATAGAACCTTTGCCTGCTTATTTGCATATTTCTGATGTTTGTAAAGGTCAGGTGAAAGAACAGATAATGAGACAAGCGTTAATTAAATGGATATGCAACAGTGGCTGGCTACATGCTGGCCAATATAAACCATCACACCGAATAGGAAACTTGCAGAGAAAACAACCCCGATTAGCTGAGTAGATCTACACCTTTGTTGGGAATTATAATACGGCGAATGATATCGCGTTTCTAGAAGTGAAAAATAAAAATAATATAATTGTGTGTAATACAATTACATTATACAACTATAAAAACATAATAATTCACAATTGTGCAATGTAAAATACATTAACAATAATATATGTAATGTCATTGTTTGAATCATAAGACCTTAGATAGAAAATTAATAATAATTTGAACACTTATAGGATCAGATTCACCAAACTCAGGAGACAAATTGGATTATAGGCCTCATCGATTGATCTCTGATTGAGAAACAAGTTAAACTTTTTTACACCTTTCCCAGCTTTTTGAAAATTGATAAGAGATGAATATGCTATTCCTAATTAATATATGCTACCTCATTCACATACGTACATGACCCTCCTCATTCTATCGATTTCTCTTGGATCTTTATACGTGCAGAGATCCCAACCCAATGACGTGAGTATTTTAATTTTCTTTTCGGTTCTATCATTTACAGAAGATTTTGGTATCTGTTTCTTTCAGAGTTAACCAGAAGGAGGTCACAACTTGCGCAGTCCAACTTTTTAGGAACGCACAATTTTATGACGTTAAGAATTTTTAAGGGGAGTACTTATTTACGCATTTTTGGAAGGAACTATATCTATGTGAGGATTTAATAGGGGAGATTTGTCAAAGCGACGAACAAGGAGAAAAAAAGGAACAACAGTTTTGATTCTTTTACTTTCATTTTAAGAAATCGGGAGAAATCAATTTCAATCAATTTGGGAGGGGATGGTCAACCCTGATTCTCTCCATTCATCGGATCAAATTGGAGAACCTTGCATCCTGATGGATGGATTTATAATGGTGGTGAAATATGGTTTATGGTTTAATATTAACAAATAAAACATTCATTTGTTTGTTAAATTTGACTTATTATTGCCATGGTAAGATTTAGAAATTTAAGTATCCCTATTTCCATTTTGTAATGGAGCCCCTAATCTTTCTAATAACAATATGTATTGAAGGTTCAATTGCAGTGTATATATTGCAAAATATTTTTGAAAGTAGATGGAGCTCATCAAAGAAAAATGAATTTTGAAGAGCTTAGCTCGCCATGTACTGCAGATCATACTTTTTTAATAACAAGATGTGAGTTGTTATTTTTTTTTTTAAATGACCTATGTACTAATTATTCCACAATTTATAATGATGAAAGGTTAATCTGATTAACAGATACAGGTCCAAGAACTCAGCGACCAGTGGCAGCTCTACGGCGAAATGTATCAACTGTTTCAACATCAAGTAAGTTGATCAACTGTATTACCGTAATATTAATTGATTAAGTTATTCATTTTTGTCTGGAATTTATGTTTCGCTTATTCGCATAACAAAGCGAAGGTGGTTATGAATGGAATGTAGTTTTATGTATATTGAAAGGAATAAAGGTTTCTTTCGTGAAATTTATTGGTGAATATGAAAGGTTAAGGAATTATATCAAAAGGATTTACGAGTTTTGGAGCTATTTTTTGGTATGACAAAACATCACAGAAATTGTTAGTTTTACTAGATAAGGAGACAAGAATTACCTGTGATAAAAAAAATGGAATTAACGTGCTTTGACATAGTGTGTGATTTTGACCAATTATTGAGTAATACACTGATCCGCAAATCAGAAGACATGATTTTCAATTATAGGATAGTAAGGTAATAGAATATTGAAAACATGTAAATAACTTTCGATAAGATACAACAAAAAATACACACACACATATATATCTTACAACGCGTTGTAGAAAATGGAAAATTCCGTCTGTTGGGGTTCTGTGTGTTGTTCCTAAAGTATATATTTCATTTTATATTCTAAATAAAATAACTGAGTAACAATGTTTTTACATTATTATAAATTACGTTCTATCAATTTAACACTACCATTTCAGATCTTTTATAACAAAAACATTAAAAGTTTATGAGACAACAAATAATCTATCAAAATCATGTTGTTAGCAACAAACTACATTAAGTGAACTTGTCAATTATATGCGACAAAAATATTTAAAAAAACAACAACATATTATCAATAAAATATGTGTTCGACTAATTATACACAAACCGACTATTAGCTATTATTTGAGCTCTTTGTAATGTCGTTTCTTTTACATAATTACTTAATGCCTATTACCATCATTCAGTATAATAAATAATTAAGAAAAAATAATAATACTAGATAATATCTTATGCAATAATTTAGATATTTAGTGAACCCCGTATTTATAATTTTACTTAATGAAAAAATGATCACGAAATTTGCATATTTTTAGCAGAGGAAATGTATTCATCCACTGGCACAGTTGATGGGGAAAGTAAGTAAATTTCATATATTTTAATTTGAAATATCTATTATCTGAATAACATACCTTTTTGATTTTTTTCGAATTATGAGATTATGGAGACTTCAGATTAACTAAGACATCTTAATATTTGCTATGAATTTACTCGAGGAGTATAGTATGACATGATATTGAATTATATTTGAAACATTATACTATATGTAAAAAGATTGATTATTGAATATTTGTTGCTTGGGAAGAGGAAAGGGATTTTAATATTTATCAAAATCGAAATCTTTCGTGTAAGTCGGTGGCTAGAGAAAGATTATTTCTTAATAAAAAAAATATTACGATTAATATTAGTCACAGTAAAATAAAAATGTATTGGTTTATCATGATGGTTAATATAGTATTAATGTATAAATATTTTATTTGTAATAATTATATATTCACAGCCGTGGGCTGCTCTGAACCGAGAACAGTAGATGCATCAAATAAGTAATTTTTCATCCCCATTTTATTTTTTTTTAACTCTTTTATTTAAATATCTACTTGGAAGGAGATTAGACTTTTGTATAATTATAGTTATTAATATTTAATATAATTCTAAATATATGCGTTTTTCCAATAGTATTTTTCATTAAAACTATAAGATTACAATAGGAGCATTAGGTGATCTTTGTTTTAATTTATCCTTCAATAATAAGGCCGTTTTATTTTCCTTTTTAATCAAAATAAGCTATTATTCATCTTTAAATCAAGAAGCTTGAGGGAACCGAATTACCGCCTGTGTCGGTAAGTATCTCGTTTTTATGAATTTTTCGTGGTGATTTTTCAGATATAAAATTGAACATTTTTCTGGTTCGATATAATAAGCCTTCGTGACAGTCTGTTATTTGTTGCAGGATTTTTTTTTTTTGTTTCTGAAGATTATATTTGTTAATTCTTTTTCCAATTTAAGGTTTTAATGTTTGAATGATTATTCGCTGTTCTCCGATAAGCATATATTTTTTTTCTGTTAGCAGGGTCGGGCGTTTCGGCACACGGATTCAAATTTTTTGAGATGTCGTTGAAATTGAACGAACATGACAATAAATCAGGTATTTTATAACGATTTAAATCAATGATATTACATAAGTGATTTTTACGTGATTCATAACGCTGATTCCGGAGAAAAACTTGAATACTTTAACTACAAAATTAATGAGTCATGACTATATTCCTAATTCTGCTTGGATTAATGCAGGTTTGTAAAGTAAACATGTATGTCATTTGTCGTTGAAGGAATATATTTCTTGATGGATATAAATTTTTTAGTAAATTTTCTATTACATTTAGAAAATGTGGATTTCAGAAAAATCAAAAAAGTAAATATTATAATAAAAAATCTGGTGCGCGCAAAACACAACTTTCACTTACCGCTCTACTTTGAATAGAAAATATTTTCTGGCAATGCTGGGCTATTATAAAATTTTTTGAAGTGGATTTTAAACGGAACTAAATCTTAAAGCTTACAGATAACAAGTAATTCATACCATTATAATTACAAAATGTCTATTTAATATATCGACGGTAGGCAATTTTGAGTAATGTCAATTTAGTGATATTTTTAGTTGAAAAAGTTAACCATGCAGAGTGAGTAAGTTGATTCCGGAGTTGGTGATTGCAGTGTTGAAATATAGAATTGAGAATAAAGGTATAAATTTAGGTACTCATTTCTTATGAAAGATGTTCTGAGGTAAGATGCTTTATTAAATATCTGTAGAAAAAAAGGTTTTTTAGTCTCAACAATTAAAAAATGATATTTTAAATTTATACAAATTTTGGCCTCTTCAGGGGAAAAACTTTGAGACCATATCTTTCCTCCTTATTGTCCGATTTCAACGATTTTTTTTTTTGGTTTTTATGAAATACCATAAACTTTTAAAAACAAAAAAGTGTATACTTTTTGAGTTATTCGGAATTTAATTTTACCAATCCTCGTAACTTTTTTCCTGCTTCTTTTCGTTAAAGTTGTTATATAGATAAATTTAAAGGATGTCGAGAAAATGACTTTAGCAAAATTTCATTGAAATAGGTACATTCGTTTAGGCGCTACAATCTATAGCAACGCAGGTTTTTCTGAATTTTTATTTTTTTCTCCTTTATTAACTTATCAAATTCTTTCAAAAGTTATATGTAGCATTTTTTCGTAACTCTGAATAATGCGAAGTGAATAACGTGGCTGAGTTTATAACTGACTGGTTTGTTGGGAGATCTCCATTAAGTGTTGAAGTGTTGAAAAAAGTGATCAACTATTGGACAAAGCTAAGCTTAATGAGTTACGAAGGACTACCTAGACAATGCTTTAATAGGCTTAGAGCTCTAGACTCATCCATTGGAAAACCTGATCCAACTTATAACTGGGTTACCCAAGTAAAGATGATTGTGGCGGAACTGGGATGTCAGGGGATGTTTTCTTGTGTTTTCTCTCAAGGTCTGATGAGGTTCAAAGATGAAATCATGGAAAAAATAAGAAACCATCACTCATCCAAGGATATCGACAGAGTGTTAAACTCTTAATCAAACCCAAGATATAGAAAAATCTGCTCCTTTAATGTTACCAGACCAGAGGATTATCTTCAGTTCAGGGCTCTGAATTTAAACAAATTAAGAGCCGTTAGTCGTCTCAGAGTAGCAAGTAAAGATTTTATGAAAATATACTTAAAAGATGCTACTTTGATTATTAAATCCAATGAGGTATGTGGTGCAACTGACCCGGTAACTCATTTTCTGATCCAATGTGTCAACTTCAATGAGCTAAGAAATAAGTACTTGAAGGCATTTATCAGTGAATCCAGAGAAGATGCTAGTGTGGAGGAGATACTGAAAATAGTCACTATGAAAAAAATAAACCAACTGTATTATTTCATACAGGGCTGTTCATTGAACTGTTAAGTGGTAAAGTTAATCATATACCATATATTAATGCTTATTTATATTGTCATTTGTCTTATACCTCTCGAATATTTACATATTGTTATGTAAAACTTTTCATTAAAACTTTTTCATGGTGATATTTTAGTAAGGAATGTTTTTATTTGAATATTAGCTATTAATAAATATATAATAATTAATAAATAATTATTTATTCACAGCTTGCACGAATTCCTTCTCATTCAGCAGAAAAGATGCTACGAGTAAGTATATTTTCATTGATTTACTAATAAGTTAATAATTCTCATTATCTAGGAGCCATCCAACTCATAAAACAAACATATGCAAATAATTTAAAAAAGTTAGTTTCAACCCCACTATGCAAGCAAACGCATTTTCTGGCGGGCCTAAAATTCTTACTACATAGCTAGTTAATAAGATAAAATGATGTAAAGAAAACTGGAAAAATGTATAAAATTTTTTTTGTAGTGATTCTTTAGACATGTTTTATACTTTGTTTTGAGGAGAGTGAAAAAGATTGAACCTTCACATCTCCGATTTGTAACGCTCGGATAAAGTCGGCTGGAGTCCATTAATCGAATTGTTTTTGAATATTGATTAAAATATCTCAGAAACTAAAAATCTGACCTGCATACTGTAAACGAGGGAATTATTTATACTTCCATCCTCTTTCCAATGAGCTATTATTTATAATAGATATTTCATATTATTAATCTCGCCTTGTCGATGATTTCACTTCAATTGTGTGGCCTAAAGCACACACCTTAGTTTTATTTGCATGGTTTTCAAAATGGGGAAGATGCCGTATGCTGTTTCTAAAATAAACAATTATGGAAATGGGGATTAAAGATAAATTATTAGTTGTTTGTAAATACTTTTTATTTAAAGTGTTTCCTTTGTTTTAGCTGGAACGGATATACAGGAAAATATGTATTCGAGTGCAGGCACGCAAAGTAAGTTCATATTAATTTATTCCTACAGTTTTAAGATCTTTCGCTAACTATTAATTATTTATTTTTAAATAATTATCTCAAATATTATTATTTGTGTACATATTATTATTTTATAATCACACAAATAACTGATTCCTGGCTTCGAATCTATAACGCACTTTTATTAAGAAATATTGTTTTGATCTGGGTAATGAATGTATTCAATCCTTTAATACAAGATAAAACTTTTTAAAATTTTTCCACAACATTTTCGACTTCTATAACAAATTTCATACATTTGGACTTCTATTTTAATTGTTTACGAAACTATCTTTCTGAGAAAGATAATAAAGAGACTTTTATATTAGATTATATACGATTAAATATATCAAATAATCAAGAATACGGGAGTTAATAACTAAAGAATAACTTTTAAATATAAAAAAAGGTTAGATTTGACAATTGCATTTAGAAAAAAAAAATCTTAATACTAATAAATTTTTAAACCTTTTCAGGTAGTTTCCATTTAATTGGAGTCGGTGATCAGAGTAAATGTCTGGACGAAAAGAATAATTCTAAAGGTAAATGAAATATATACTGAAAACATAATTAATTACAATTAACTATTTTTTTTTTTAAACTTCTTTATTGAGATATTACAATCTGTCACATTCAAGGACAATAGTAATAGTGATATAGAGTAGCTCATTCATACCATACAATAAATAAAAATAATAAACGGCAATATAATAATACTAAAGTAAATTGTATATAAATTAGAAGATATTAAACTAAATAAAAATAAACCAATCTAACAAAATAAATAAACCAGACATACATGGCTTGAGGGGAGAATCTGGCCATTGCCAAAACTCCTATATATTCTTACAACAAGTCTCTGGGAAACTGCCGCTTCAACCATCGAGGAGGATTGAAGCGATGAGCAGTGCTAGAGAGGGATTGTGCAATTGGATTTGGATGATATGTAAGGTTTTGGTGGAAATTGGAAAATTTTTGAGGGATAAGGTCTAGGACAAATGGGATATTAAGGTTATGATTGGTTGGTTACATAGAACGGAGCATCAACTATTGTTCGAAGGACTTTGGACTGAAAGGATTGAATGAGTTTGATGTTAGAAAATTTTGCTGTCCCAAACAGTTCCAGTAGGTAGGTCCAAATAGGTTTCAGTATTGTCTTGTAGATGAGTAGTTTGTTGTCAATTGAAAGTTGATTTTCTGTTCAGTAGTCTATATAGCTGGCCATATCGTCGGTTGAGTTCTTGTCTTTTAAGTCTTGTATGTGGGTTCCATGTGTCCACACCGGACTGTGTCTGAGTAAGGAAGCTGGGTGGAATTAAATTTTACTGGTGGACAGGAATTGCGTCGGAGAGTAAAGGGAATATATTTGCATTCGACTCATTCACTTTAATGCGCCATTCATTACGCCAGTGCTCAATAAGGGAGAGGTACCTTTGTAGATTTAAGGGTGCTATTTCAGGATCTGAGTTGGATGATAGGATTGCGGTGACATCAGCAAATGTTATAAGGAAGATATCGGAATGAGCAGGGATGTCAGCGGTAAAGAGGATGTAAAGCACGGGACCCAAGACGCTTCTCTGGGGAACTCCGGCTTTAATTGGATAAATATCCGAAAATGCAGTTCCACAGCGTACTCGAAAGGAGCGGTCAGAGAGATAGGAACGAAGGATTAGGTATAAGGACTGAGAGAGATGAATTTTCAGCTTGTAGAGTAGCCCGGGGGTCATACCCGGTCAAAAGCCTGTGCTATGTCCAGAAATGCACCAGAACAATTTTGCTTCTTTTCTAGGGCTGCTGATATATGATCAAAGACTCGAAGTCCTTGTTGAACAGTGGAATGTTTCGAGCGAAAACCAAATTGATGGGAAGAAAGATTTTGGGATTCTATGAGTGGTAGGAGTCGTTTTAAAAGGATCTTTTCAAAGATTTTTGAAAGGATTGGGAGTAGGCTGATTGATCTATAGGATGTCAAGCTGTTGTTAGGTTTACCTGGTTTTAGAAAAAGGATAATGGTGGAGTTTTTCCATAATAGAGGAAATTGGGTGGTACGTAGTATGCAATTGTAGATATATGTAAGGAATATGACTGCTTTGGATGGAAGTTGTCGAAGGATCTGAGAGGTAAGGAGATAATATCCAAGAGATTTACGGGGGATTAGCTTTTGAAATAGAAATTTCACTTCGGAAGGATGAATTGCTTTAGGAGGCAATGGGGTAGATGATGTAAGGAATTCTTCTACTGTTACGGTGTGGGCAGGATAGTATTCCGGATAGGGAATAAATGTATTGGAAAGGTATTTGACGAACTCTTCGGCTTTATCAGGAGCCGTTATCTCGTCGGAGTGGATGGGAAATTTGGTGAGGATTTAGGATTTTTGTTATGGTTTTCCAAAGAGAATTGTCACGAACAGAGAGGGAGGATTGGTAGGAGTTAAAGGATTGTGATCTGAAGGTGACTAATTCCAGTTTTAATTTTTTACAGTAATAATTATAGGAGCTGCGGTCGGTAGGATGTCGAGTACGTTGCCACAATAGTCTGGTACGGCGTTTGGTGTGGATTAGGTCAAGGAGGTGTTGGGGTAGAATGGTCTTTTTAGGAATTCTGGAGGAGTCTTTTGGGAAGAAGGCAGTCCAGGCGGCTTGTTGGATTGTGGTAGTAAAGGAATTTACGGCACTATCTAGGTCATCGGGAGTTTTTACGGATATATTGAGATCAATTCTATCGAAGAGGATTTGGCGGAAAAGGTCTCAGTTATTGGGGCCCCTAATAAATGACGGTGGAGAAGGTTTGGGAACGGGTTTAAGTGAAACATTAAGAATTAAAGGACTATGGTCAGAGGAAAGTTCAGTTATATGTGTAATGGAACAATGGAGGGGACTTAAGCCGCTGTGGATAAAGAAATCAAGAATATTACGGTTGGAAAACATTGGTAATTGAGTGCAGACAGCAGGGTTCAGCCAAGAGAATTCGTGATTCTACAAATTAACTATTAACGCTACAATGTACTTTGGTGGAAACCCAACATTTTTTTTTATGTCTGAACTAAAAAAAAGTACTGCATGTAAAAATCGCCAATCTTGAATCAATGTAATAATAATAAATATAACGAGAAACATTGTTCGTGATTTATTTCGTTTGTTTAGTTTCGTTGTTCGTTAATTTAGTTTTAGAGTTTTTAATTAATTAATTAAATTTATTTTAACACGGAGTTTTTTTCTCTTCTATTAGAAACTGAAACTACAGGCTAAGTTATACGGCTCACTCTTACATACTAAAGTCTCTGTACACGGTCCTACGGACATCTTTCAACGTTAGAACGAATATCGAACTTCGAGCAACGAGCATATTGTTCCAACCTTTGACAATATGAGAGTAGCATCGAATTAAAACAAATAGAATTGGATAAGTCAGGGGTGCCCATTCCCCCCAAGGTCGATAGCGCAAGAACCTATTCCCCCTACTCCCATGATATTTTATTGCTCACCTGTTCTTAAAAACAGAGCAAGCTAAGATAGAATTGGAAAAATTGTAGATCATATACAATTACACTTGCTGCATTCTGTTCAATTTGGCCTCCTTGTCCCTTAGAATGGAACTTTTCATTCTGAAAATTCTTGAACCCATCGAAATGTGCCCCCCTCGAAAATTCTAAAATCCGCCAAAATATGCCTCCTGCAAAAAAGTTTGATGCAACTTGCCCCATGCGACATCAAATCTTCTTCTGCTACCCCACACTACTCTTGAGGCAAAAGCGAATATTTAATGAAAACAATAATTTTGAAAAAAAACAAACAATGTAAATAAAGAAAACCTAACTGCACAACGAGTGTAATGAACTAGGATCCTCAAATCGCCATTGGTAAGGACTCTCAAAAAATAGTAGCGCAGTAGATGCCTACACAAAGCACGTTTTTGCAGATTGAACCAAAACAGTGTATCACCTAAAAATAAATTTTAACTGCTGTCCCAAAGTTACCTACCCAGTCCCAAAATTACCCCATCTTACGGTACTGGCATAAAAAATATTCTAGTAGAAAAAATGAAAAAATAATAGTTGTGTATAAAATTAAGAATAAAATAACTCTGAATAAAACCTTTTTATACTTTTACCTTTTACCTTTGTACTTGAAACCGACAATATAACCAAAGTATTTCAAGGTATTTCAGAAACTTTCATTAACTTTTTAAAAAATATTCAATAGCTTCTCTTATTTTATCTATTATAATATTTGTTTAGATGCACATGAAAAACTTGAAACAACGGTGGAAAATACACCAAACACTACAGAGAATCAAGGTAAAAATGTTTTAATATTCAAGGTATAATATGTATTACATATATAATTAATTGTGAATAATAATTTTATTAGATGCAAATCAATCACTCTTGATTAATTTTACTTCCAATTATGTAATAAGAATCTCTCTTATCATATCTTAATTTAAAAATCACTTTTATTTTGCCTACTTTTTTCTGGTCCTCACATCGAAGAGTGATTTGATAAATATCTGAAATTTCTGAGATAAACTTTGTAGATTAAAAATAATATTTATTAACACGAAATCTTCTATTTCGGATACCGATATTTGTACCAACGGAGAAGGAAGAGAAACGCTGTAATAATTTCAAAACATTCGTATAATATTATCTATTTATCTATTTACTTAACAGCATACACAAAAAAGTTTATTGGATTATAGATAACTAATTATAAGCATAGAATTTATCATTGTACGGTTTATGTTACAAGATCTATTTATTCACTAAATAAAAAAAAATTAATAAATAATAATTCTTTGTTCCAATTTATTTGTGAATAAAGCTACTAGATAATGAATAATATCGACAGACACACTGCAAAAGCATGTAAATGCAATGAATGAATTTAATCATAAGACGAAATAAACTTCGTAGTTGTTTTTTTTAAAATAAGATTTACCGTTAAGCGTGCTTAAGAAAAAGATGTTTCAAATAAAGTTTTTTATTTGCATTTCTAAATATGAGGAAGGCTAATATTGGCCAACAAATAACTCAAAACTGTACTTTCTAATAAAATTGTACATACAGGTTTTTGCATTGTAGTTGTCAATATTAGAATAAAATAGAATAAAATAGAGTAAATAAAACAGATAATATTTAAACAAAAATATACTATTCATTTATCTCAATTTATAAGTAATCAAATGTAAGGTGAGAGGTTACCTCGGAGTAATAATTTTTCTCTTGAAGGGAAATTAATGAGCTTCATCAATGTTAAAACTGATGTTTGCCTAATGTTTTTCTAGCTATAAAGGATATTGTATTTTGTTGTATAAAGTGTAATTGTTTTCTGGTTTGATCAAAGATAATACAATTAGTTTGGATTAATTTTATGATCTTTTTATTTATTTTTAAATGTTATTTATTTTAATCATTAAAGGCATACTTCAGAACGAGGATTTCAGCGTTGGAAGTATTCTAAGACTTTTTGAGGATCAAGGTACGAATTAGGATTTTTAGTTAAATAAAAAACGTTTATAAGTATACTTCATTTTATTTATAATTGGTTACTCTAGGGTCGTCAAGGCCCTTTTACACGGTTAATGTTCTCGGGATGTTAAACAACCATAAAGGTTAATTTGCTTTTGTCTCTTCTAAAAAGTGATAATTTAGTATAAATACTCATTTTTTGTGTAGCAAAAGTGTTTTTTTTGAAGACAACAGAGCTGAAGACAAAAAACAAAACAAAGGTTGAGCGGATTTCACCGCCAACGATGGTGGAACGGTCACAACACGAGGAGGTAAGCAATATGAACTTAGCAAATAGTGATACAAACACTGACGTTGACTCCTGGGAGCTGGTTATTGGTTGTAAAAGATCTATGTCAGATTCAAGCGAGCCAAGAGCACAAACGACCAACAGAACCTATACCAACCTCTAACAGTTTTGAGGTTCTAACCAAGATCAACTAGCTAACTGAAGAAATAAGACAACCGCCTCAAAATGATAAAACCCCACCAATTTTTATAAATGGTGTGGAGAATTATCATGCTTTAATTTCATTCTTAGAAAATGAAGCTGGCCCTAAAACATTCAAGAAAAAATCGAAATTAAAAGGAGTCACTGTTTACCCACAAACACCTGATATATATCGAAAATTAAATTCAAGCCTACGAAATAAAGGTGCCGACTTTCACACCTACCAACTCCCACAGGACAGGTGCCCAAGAGTTGTTGTTAAATATCTCTATCATGGAACACTAAAAATATGGGCTATGAAGTAACCAATGTAGTCAATGTAATATCTCGATTTAAAAAACCTCTTCCTATGTTTTTCGTAGACGTTACAAAAGAGACATTCAGAGAAGATATTTTTAAAATTGAGTTTTTATATTATTCTCACATTAAAATCGAGGAACCACGTCAGAAGCGAAGTATTCCTCAGTGTGTTCGGTGTCAGCAATATGGGCACACTAAAACATATTGCAATCATCGACCACGCTGTGTGCGGCGAATATCACGAAAGCAGTTCATGTTTAAAAACTAGAGAGACTCCCGCTAAGTGCGCCAATTGTAGTGGTCAGCACCCGGCTAACTACAAAGGCTGCCAGACGCTGAAAGATCTCAGGGTTCAGCGCAATGCAAGAAACCGTCTTCAGCATCCCACAGTAGCAGAGCCACCACGGGGATCTCCAGGCATCCATGAATTCCCTCCAATACGGCAGCGGATCAACTAAGCGGAACCACAGAACATCGCTGGACCTCAGCTGCAATATAATCAACCATCATCGAACTCAGCACCCCAGAACCAAAAGACATGTACAGGTATGAGGGGAGTCATTACCCAGACGGTACCTCCGGTAGATAATAGCTCTTCCCAGTTATTTAATATAATTAATGGGTTAAATAACTTAATCCAGCCCCTTTTCATTCTTCTTCAACAGCTATCACAGTTTACACAGGTCTGGTGCCCTAATTATGTCCCACAATAATTTAATTGTGGATTCTCTGTCAATTCTTTATACTTACACGAAAAACGGATTGACGTTGCACTCATTACTGAAACACACCTGACACCTCGATCAATAATTTACATCCAGGATTACTCTATTTATAGAACTGATCACCCAGACAAAACTGCACATGGAGGAACAGCAATACTCACTAAAAATTCACTAAAACATAATACCATAGACTTATCCATTACACCCGACATACAATCAACAGGAATAACATTATACACTAAACATTACACTATAACATTTGCCTCAGTTTACTGCCCCCCTAGGTACAAGCTTACATCCACGATGTTTTCTGAGTTCTTCAAACGCCTCGGAAGATGCTTCATCGCATGTGGAGACTATAATGCTAAGCATCAAGGCTGGGGTTCAAGGTTGTCTACTCCTAGAGGCAGAAATCTCTGGTCTATCCTCCATGAACTTTCATTAGACACAATAACTCCAAATTCACCCACTTATTGGCCCACCTCCAGACGCAAAACTCCCGACTTACTTGACTTCTTTATTACAAAAGGACTTAGAACCGTACCTTTTGCCGTCAATACAAGCTCTGATCTTTGCTCTGATCACTCCTCGGTGCACATGGTTCTCTTCGACGCGCCTTCTGAAGCACAAAAGAGACCTAAGCTCATAACAGGTTGCATGGACTGGGACGCATATAGAGACCATTTGAACAACAATATTTCTGTTCCAGGTTCAATTAAAAATCAAGGGGAACTAGAAGAAGCCGTTGAAACTTTTACAAAAAGTATACAAGAGCATGGTCCTCATCAACATCTAGGTCACAAAGAGCAATTAACTTATCCAATGTGCATAAGGGACTTAATCAGGGCAAAGAGAAGAGCTCGTAAAGTGTGGCAGACTAATAGATTTCCTTGAGACAGACAAACTTTTAACAGATTGAACAACGAACTTAAAAGACATATTCAAAAATTCAAAAGCACAAACTACGACAATTTTATTAACAACCTTTCGACGGACGATGGAAGTTTATGGAGACACACAAGGAATCTTTTAAAGCATCGTGAGGTGTCAGCACCCCTACGAAGAGAGGATGGTTCTTGGGCTTTTTCGGACGAAGAAAGATCTGAACTCTTTGCTACTCATCTTTCCTCTGTTTTTAAATCACATACGGACTTCGTTAATACAGAACATGATATTTTTGTACAAAATAACTTAGACATACCACTACAGCTCACACTACCACCACCTCCTTTCACACCATCACAAGTTGCACAAGAAATTAGACAATTGCCGAAAAGAAAAACCCCTGGTCATGACTTGATAAATGCTGAGGCGCTCCAGCAAATGCCAAGGAAAGCTCTAGTGTTTCTCACCACAATCTTCAATTGCATTCTTAGGACCACAAAATTTCTAATACAGTGGAAATACTCTCATATAACCATGATTAAAAAGCCAGACAAAGAAACTAACAATCCTTCTTCATATAGACCGATTAGATTGCTTCCAGTGTGTTCTAAATTATTTGAAAAACTATTATACTCACGACTATTACATATACTAACAGACAAACAGATTATTCCTGACCATCAATTCGGGTTTCGAAAATTACATTCAACAACACAACAATTACACAGGGTAACTGATTACATATCGACAGCACTCGAGAGCGAAAACTATATGCAACCGGAGTATTTCTGGATGTCGCCCAAGCTTTCGACAAAGTATGGCATCAGGGGCTTCTCTTAAAACTTAAGACCATACTCCCACCAACCTACTACTTAATTCTTCACTCCTTTCTCTCAGACAGATTTTTCTCCGTTCGACACGGTTCAGGTCTATCCTCAATTCGACCTATTTTAGCTGGCGTACCTCAGGGATCAATCTAGCCCCACTACTGTACATCACATACACACACGACATTCCTCAAAGTATCCACACACTTACAGCAACCTACGCAGACGACACTGCTATCATTACTAAACACGATAATCCTACACAGGCATCACTTAACCTACAACATCACTTACAAAAAATAAACGATTGGTGTAAACTATGGAAAACTCAAATAAATTATCAAAAGTCACAACACATCACATTTACTCTAAGACTAGAAACATGCCCTTCTGTATACTTAGACAACATACCGATTCCACAAACAGATAGAGTACAATACCTAGGCCTGACGTTTGACAGAAGAATGACATGGGGTCCACATGTAAAGAAAAACGTGCATCATTAAATAACAGATTAAAACTATTGCATTCATTATTAAGACGGCATACGAAATTAAACGCAAGACAGAAATTAAATATTTATACATACCTATTAAAACCTCTCTGGACTTATGGACTACAAATATATGGAGTTGCAAAACCAACACACATAAAACGACTTCAAACTTTTCAGTCTAAAATACTACGACTAATTACCCAAGCACCCTGGTACGTGAATAATAACACTTTACACACTGACTTACACATGCCAACGATCAATGAACACATACGAACTTACTACAAACGATTTCATAATAAATTACATGGTCACACCAACCAGCTAATTAAAGAAATGGCCACGACTACTATGCCGGAGAACTCCAGAAGACAACTGAAAAGGGTGTGGATGAGGGACCTACTTACGTAATTGTATGTAAGTAAGTAAAAGCCATGGAAGGGATGTCGCTGTGTATTGCTTTTCTTCATGCCTATCAAGCCTTTTTATTTTATTTTATTTATTTTTTTATTTATTTTTTTATTTATTTTTTTTTCTCATGACTGTGCCAGCACATCTGCTGATTGTCAATAGTTATAATTGACAGGTGCGGATAAATATATGTAAGCGCAAAAAAAAAAAAAAAATGTTCTCGACCCGTTTGTTGCATTAACTCCCTTTGTTAGAGGTAAATAACCGCGTAAAATGATTTAGTTAATGTCGCGGAACAAAATTCATTATTCAAAACATGCTGTGGATCTCGCCATTGTTTTATTGCATTTTAGTCAGCAAATAAAATATATTCTTGTAATAGTAAAAATTTTGGGATGAACCCATGACCAAGTTTTAAAGTTGATTTAAGTAATAAAGAATAGATTATCTCTGTACGGCATTATATCAGGGATCGAAACTTTTATGAAATATTTATTAAGAAGTCCCATTTTAACAATTTTAGTGAACATTTTTAGGAAAAAAGTTATTAAAATAAAAATTCCTTTCTTGTAATAAAGTTGTAGGTTTATTATAAAAGTTTAACTTCTATTTATTTAAGTTGTTTAAAAAGAGTAATGTTAAATGAGAAATAACCCGTTATTGGGCTTAGATTAGAGTTATAATTTATCTGAAATAAATTACATGATAAATTATTTTTTACCTTGAATTTGATGGAATCAAAAGAATTGTTAAATATTTTTTTTTTTTAAAGTATAAGTTTTTCTTAATACAAGGCAGTGGATCAGCTGATGCGAAGGACGTGTTCTGAAATCTTCTCTCAGTTGTTGCCTATTTTTCAGCGGAATCTCTTTGATT